TCTGGATTTTTGTTTAGATTCCATCACACAGTTGAAGAGTACCTATGATAAAAATTACAGTCATCTACAAGCTTTGCAAGTGGGAAAACCTGAAAAAGCAACAGTGTATCAAATACTTGATCTCCCCACTGTACATGGAAAGTCAACGATTTGTTTCGATGCCCCTTTCTTTGCATATTGGTCTGGTAACTCATTTTCTTCAACCCCTATGTGAGATGGAACCCATAAAAACACAATTTCCCTTCTAATTTGGAATAATCTATATAATGTTTTGTTGAATTTCATAAATAATATCCTGTCTTGACTCTGACTTCTTGTTCTGAATGCTTGTTAATGCACTGCAGGAATCAGAAACCATTAACACTTTTTCTAAACCATTTCCCTCAATCCAGGTTAATGCAATAAGAATAGCTAAAAGTTTACCTGTATAAACTGCTAAGTTTTCATTAGTCCTATTATTTTTTATAATGCCCAAATTTGGTATCACAAATGCAATATCAACTTTATTATCACTAGTTCTAGATGCATCTGTATATACAGATATATTAAAATGAAAGTAAGTCTTGGTCTGAACTCGTCATCTTGATGTTTCATTTTCAGGCAGGAACCAAAGTTGGCAGGAAGACGAGGCAGGAGCACATCCCTGAAGGAGCGACAGCCCAGCAGGCCCCAGAACGAGCGGGCCAATAGCCTGGACAACGAGCGATCTCTGGACACACGCTGCCATCTACAGGCAGGAGGCCACAGCTGCCCCCACACCAACAAATTCATGGCACTCGCATCAACTTTCACTTTAAAAATAMAATCATATAAAATGCCAGTTGATTTTAAAAAATTCTTGTCCGTTCCAGTACATTTTTTTATTCATGTATTTTTATTTGTGGAAGTCAGTGTAAAGTATTCAAATACACTAAAATTGATACAAATACAGTGTCGCCTGAGCAGGGGGTTTGATGAAGACGGATAAAAACCTAGATTTCATCTAACCCTAATTTTCTTGTTTACTGTTCTAGATCCCAAGAAAAACTGTGTATGATCAACTAAACCACATCCTGGTATCTGATAACCGCCTCCCTGACAGCATAATCCTCATCAACACGTCTGACTGGCAGGGTCAGGTAAGACTTCAACCTTAAAATGCTTTAAAAAGTATTTATTAGCATCACAAAGTCTATATTTCTTACTAAATGAAACTGCAATAACTTCAGATTGTGTCTTAAATATTTAGACCATTTAATTGCACATTGTTTCTACTTAGCTTTATTTTTTATTGCTGCTGGAGCCAAAATGGCAACAATATTTTGACCTTTTTTCTGTGTTTGTCAGTAACCTTAGCATCTTATGAACTACTATGTAAAATTTAGTCAAACTCCCAAAGTAATCATTACAACTTATTGTACTTCTGAGTCAATTTGAAGTGAACACCACAGCTAAGCAACCTCAGCCAACACAAACATCAGTTAATTTTACAAATTATAAGATTAAGTTTGGTAGTAATTGGAAGTCATCCTCAACACACATTCTCTGCTACATATTTACCTAAAACTTTGGCAATGTCTGTTAAAATCAACACTCTCTGTGTTTGCAAAATACTTCATCAACCACTGGACAGAATATGGTGAATTTCTCAGAAAGTGATCATGGAATATACATCTACAGCTCCTTAACCCTTTTGAGTCAACCCAGTTCAGTTTGACTGACACAACAAATAACCAAAACAAAATGGCAATAAGCCACTTAGTTTTATTGGCATTTAGCTAAAGTTTGGTATGATAGTAGCTGAATATCATTGAATATCCTAACACATCTTGCCAGATCCCATATCACATTAGATTGTTTGTATCATTTACAAAGTTTGACCAAAAACTGTTGTAACTTCATCCTCTCTTTGCATTAAATTATCTTGATTTAAAATTCTGGCACATAAGATAGAGAGCAATGTGCATTTCATGAAGGGATAGTGAGGTAATCATTGTGTCAAAACACTCTTAAATGCTAACAAAACATTTATTTTAAATTGTCCCATTGTGATAAACGCCTATGTGTTTTAACCCTTACCGAGCTTCTTTTTTACAGTATCTTTCAGATCTGTTGCAAAATCACCATCTGCCCGTGGTGTGTACCTGCACCACAGCCGACATCCAAGCTGCGTTCAATACCATTGTGTCTCGTATCCAGAGATTGTAAGTCTGCTCATGTTCAAACTTCCTGTTTTTACACACAACATGTAGAACAAAGGCACACAGAGTCAAGAGCTTTAATAGTCATGGCCCGTCTAATCAAAACAGGGATATAAGTCAGACAATTTTAGATTCCTTGCTTTTTTATTTACATCTAAATCATCTTGATGTTTATTACTCCCATTTTTAAATCTGGTGATCCAACAGAAGTTTCAAATTATCGGCCAATTTCTGTTCTTCCTATTTTTTCTAAGTTACTTGAGAAAACTTTATTTAATCAACTACTTCAGCATCTAGAAGCTAATAATATGCTAAGCAATAGCCAACATGGTTTTCGCATGTCAAGGTCAACCATGTCTGCATTAATTTTATTCACTGAACAAATACGTGCTGCTTTGAACAAAGGTCAAGTAACTGGTGCTGTATGTATTGATTTTCGTAAATTTATACTGTATATAT